GGGGTGGGGTGGGGGGGGGGGGGGGGGTGGACTCCTGATGTGAAGGGGGACCTTTAAAAGAAAGAGGAGCTTCTGATGTGAAAGGAGGAGGATTCTCTTGTTAAAAGAGGGGGCTTCTAATGTGAAAGGGGCTACTGATGTTAACCGGGACTTTGATCCAAAGGATGGAACCCCACTTTTTCATGTGTTCTTGCGTGGGGTCCATCCCCCCCTCCATACTTTTTGCATACTTTTTGAGGGTGAAAAAAGGTTGAGAAATGCTGCTCTGTACTTACCTTTCTGGTTGATCATGTCTTTAAACTGCCTCTATTGTGTTACCCGGCTTCTGTGGCTTCTGACTGTGTTGAATATCTGCTTCCACACCTGCCACAGACTATGGTTCCTCCCAAAAGCTAATACATCCTGTAGTGATGTATGTATTACCCGGCGGGAGAAACCTAGTATGTAATGGAAGAGCAGGCATGAACACACATGGAAGTGACAGGGACCTGCAGCCGCTGGGGATTAGCAAAGGGTAATGTTTAAAGACATGGTCTGCCAGAAGGGTAAGCATAGAATGTCTTCTTTTTTCAGTGTATCTTTAGTTAAATAAGTGAACCTATAGTGGAGAAAATCCTCTCTGGGACACAAATGGCAACCTGACAAAGGTTCTGACCCTTAGATACAAGGTATTTAAAAGGTATTGTACTAGGGATGCACAGATACTTTGGCATTTTCATGAGAACTACCAGGGTTGCAGCGGTTGCAGCTAGGACCTGGCTCTGGAGCTCCACCACTGTCCTGAAATCATTAGTCTGTATTGTTTTAGAAAAACTGTCACATGACAATAAACAAAAATGTATCAGTACTCGTACTTGTAAGTACTCGGCAATTACCAGTACTCGTACTCGCAAAACTGGTATCTGTGCATCCCTTTATTTATATTTATAAAAACAAAATCGTACATTAAAACAGAGATGTACAAATCCCAGGAGCTCCATGTGCTCCTTACAAATGACAGCTGCCTACTAACTTTTGAATTTTTCTCTAGTCTAGTCTTGGAGCTCAAAAGTATCGGTACTTGTACGTGTACTTGTACCGAGTACTGTACTTGGTATCTGTGCAACCCTATATTGTACTGTATAGTAGTAAAGGTGTGGCTACTGGCTTTCAAACCTTTCATTTGTCTTTTTTGGTTTGTTGACAATGCCACAAACGTCACACTACGTTGTTTCACAGAGGAAACCTCAGTTATGGCAAACATGTGGCTTTTTTATTATTTTGTTATGCAACACAGTACATTATGTAAAAATCTTTGCTGCAAATTGCAGTTCAGTATTATGAGAAAAGAATGATTTTGGAAAAAAGGAAAGGGAAAGTGTGAAGACAAGTGTATCTTAGCCTCTTTCTTTTCCTTCCTCTCTTTCCTTTTCTCTATAATACTAAGGCACAGATGCAAGATAGTGTAAACAAATATTCAGTATGGAGTATAGAAAGAAAACAAGATATTGTTTGCATATTCTCCCCTTTCCGCTAGCTGTGTGAAGTTGGCGCCCCCGGTTTTAAAACCTGAATAAAATATACCATTCTTTTGTGCTGCGTTTGTGCTGCAAAAACAAACGTTTGTGCTGCTTTGGTTTAGGAGATACTGCACTTTATATGTTATCAAACCACACTGACTTTACACAACGTTATTAAATCTTACATAGAACTAGATTCATTTGTTTCCTGTTTGTGCCGACTTGGTGGATATTGTACATGATGTTTTAGTTAATATGTATAGTTTTGCCTACTGAGATATTACAAATATGTTTGGCCAGGTGTCCTCAGTCTGCACCCAGTAATTAACAGGGGAAATATAGGAAACCAATAATTAACATTGCACCAGAAAGTTTTATGTCAGGGGGTTAACATTGCACCAGAGAGGCATTAGGAGTTCATATGGAAACATACCGGTTAATACTGTAAGCAATCTTCAGCCCACCAGATGTTGTGGACTACATCTCTGCTAATGCTTTGCAAGCATTATGGCTGTAAGAGCATCATGGGAGATGTAGTCCACAACATCTGGAGGGCCAAAAGGTTGCCTACCACTGGCTTTAGTAATGTAACTACAAAGTGAATAAGTAGAAAGTTACTACTTAAAGCAGTGGTTCTCAACCTTTCTAGGGCCCGGTCCACTTGGTAACATTTGCCAAGTTGTGGTGACCCCAACGGTAAAATTTAGGGTTGCACCAATACTAGTACCTGTGCCGATACTGAGCATTTGGGCAAGTACTCATATGCTCCGATACCAGAGCTGCTGGTCAGAGGGAGATTCCATGCACCTTTGCGACACTCAGGCGACAGTCAGCCTTGCTTCCTGACCAATCAGGAAGAAGGGCAGTACGTCATGACCTGCCACCCCGCTTACTCATTGGTCAGGAAGCCAGTATGCAGTGCTGCAAGGGAACATGAAACCAGCTTCTCAGCCAATCAGGAAGCAAGGCAATGGGTCATCTTCCTGATTGGCCAGGAAGCCAGTCTGTAGCGGCACTGTTTTCGATAGCTGAGCCGAACTGCAGAAGGTGTTCGAACCAGCCGATCCAGCATCTGGATCGGCTGAGCCGAAGCTACGGCAGCTCGCTCGCTGCCGTTCGCCCCTATTTTCATTCGGCCTTGCTATTCTGCTCGCTACCTCCGGGGGAATGAGCAGAATATAAAAAAATGTGAACAAAGGAAAACAAAAACGTTTGAAAATAATTTAAATAAATGTAAAAAAAAAGAATAATTAAAAAAAGTTAAGAAAATAACTTTCAAATTTGTGCATACCAGGCCACATGCCCTCAGCCCTGTGGGGGTTGCTTTTTCAGGGTTGCCCCTGGAAAAGCACCTTCTTCACGTGCCAATGGGGACAAGGGTCTCTTCCCCACAAGCCCCGGGGCATGGGTTGTGGGGGTGCGGGCAAGGGGGTTTATTCACATCAGGGTACACCTTTAGTCCCTCCTCCCTCCTTTCCTTCCAAGCCCCCCTCACACATTTAATACACTGCCCCTCCAGCACATATAATAATAAACTTCCCCCCTCCCAAGCACCCCAGCAGACATCATAAACTTCCTCCCTCCCTCCTTTCCTTCCAAGCCCCCTCACCTGCTTTCATCCGTGCAGGGAGGAGGCACATCGTCTCGTCATGCCCTGGTGATCTAGTGGTGATCATTAGTAAGGTCTGCACTAGACCTTACTAATGATCCATCATTCGGCCGGAGCTCAGGACTGACAGAGCTCCGCCCGGAGCTGACAGGAGCAGCTCTGCGGTCTGCATCCATCGGAGATGCAGACCGTGTAGCTGCTCCCGCAAGTCGGGCACGTGGTCCGTGACCGTGTGCCCGTTTTGTCAGCTGGCTGCGGGCCACTTAGTACTGGCTCGCGGGCCGGAGTTGGGCCGGTACTTTGAGACAGCTGTGCTAGACACATGTCCCTTTCACTGTTATTGGGAATTATGTCATTTTCTTCAAGACCCTTTTGTTCTATCTGACTCTCTGAGCAATCATATATGTCACACTAAAATAAAACTGATCTTACTCTATTATATTGTTATATACTGGATTACAAATACATGTTAAAAAAATAACACAAAACTTTTTGTGCTGTATATTTTCAGACTTCAAAACTACAAGAATGAGTAAGTGTATCAGAGTGCTCAAGTATATGCTGTTTGCCTTCAATTTATTGTTTTGGGTAAGTACTTCTAGTACTGCATGCAGTTGTTTTTGATGGTTTAATGTTGACGATAATTTCTGGTGGGAATTTGCTTATCTAAAGAAAACAGATTTAAACAAGCATTACTTAGAAGCATATTACACTCTCCAGTCTGTGTCCATCCAGTGCAGCCTGGATCTTGCTCTGAGCTCTCACTCCCTCTCAGTCACTATCAGGTGCAGCCTAATTAATAGAGAGAGAGGAGGTTTACCTGTTGGGCCAGGCTTAACCCTTTCCTAGCCAGGGAAAGCTGCCCTTTTCAACCTCTCACTGACATACACAGAGTCGTGTACCCTGTCACAATATATATAATCTGCTGCTTCTGACTGCCTTCTGAGCTGCTATGAGTTGTTTTTGCATTACCATTGAGTTGGAATGCTGTTCTGAAGCAATCAGATGCAAACAAATGCCCTTATACCTGTAAAGTGATATTAAAGACAAAATGTTTTTAAGCTATTTCATATGCTGATAATAATAACTTACAATGATTGCAAGCTCCCTCTGGCAAAGCACCCCTAACCATCTTTTTTAAAATTGCATTTTAACTGTAATGTGTTTCTTATATTGTAAAGCGCTGCACAAACTGTTGGTGCTATATAAATCCTGTAAAATAATACATAATTTAATGGCGCTTCTTCCAGGTGCTGACAATGCTTGTTAGATCAGCAATTTGAAAAGAGGCTGAGTAGCGTTGTCGGCCCGACAGTAAATATAGTCAGATTCCGGAGAACAGCAGGATCAGCAAGCAATTGTAATACAACTATAAAGAAGGAGGATTATCTCAATGTGTTTATACTATAGGAATGATGCAAAGGAGACTTTATCATTTTTGGCTGGAGAGACATTTTAAAGTAGACCTGTGCTTTGCCCAGTGACTTCCTGTTACATAATAACCTTATGCAAGCATGGCAGAAGTCACCTTCTGTGGCCATTTCCCAAGAATGACAGCAGCATTCTTGCATACATCTGGCATTCACGCAAGCATTCATCACTTATTTCCTGCTGCTTGTAGCTGCCTTTGTACACCACAAATTTAAGTTATGATGATCCTTGGTTTTACCTATTGCCCGTATTTACAACTCTTTTTTTTAAACTGTAGAATAAAAAAAGGCTAGTTGAAATTTTTTGTTTCACAGTATTTGCACAAATGCTTATCAAACCAATATTTTTAGGATAAAATACACTAAAATGAAATTTAGTGCACAGAAACAGAATATAATACCCAATTGTTTGGTAAAATATAAAAGATGGGGTCACGTCAGGTAAATAGATACCAAACATGCCAAGCCTTAAAATTGCATTCGCCCGTGAAGCTGCAAAAAACTGCAATACACAAAATTTCCCATAGGGTCACTTTAAAAGCTTTTACCACTCATCAGTTAAGTGCGAACAGTGATTGATGGCCCTAGAATTATTGCTTTCACTTCGACGTTTGCGGCGATATATAACATGTGTAGCGCAATTTTCGTTTTTGCACGTAGGCATACTAACGCGTATTTGTGTATGTGTGTGTGCACCTGGGGGGAACTTTAAAAGCTTTTTTGCCATTTTTTACATTTTCTTATATGTTACTTTCATTTTTTGATTTTTGAAACAATTTTTTTTTTGTTACACTAACCTTATTTGCTATCACATAGGGGGCTAACAACCCCCCTATGTAATAGCAGACAGGGTGTGACAGGTCCTCTTTATGGAGACATCAGGGGTCTTTCAGATCCCTAATGTCACCTAGGGACCCCAAAGAAGCTGAGGAAGCAGAGATCTGCTTCACCAGCTTCTTTTCCTGGCTGCAAGAGCTGGAGAATGTAAACAGTGACACCGGGAGTGATGTAGTACACATCACTACCGGATCCAGTTTTCGGAGGAGAGATCAGCAGCCGGAATTGTTGCGGGGAGACCCACCGTGCCGGTTCCGGGCCCTGCACAGGGGCCAGCTGAGCCCAGGGAAGCAGACGGCGGCCCCGGCGGGGAGGAAACACTGCCACATAGTACAACCGATGCGGTGGCTGTATAGACGCCAGATTGCTTGTACATTCGACCCGGAATTGGTTAAAGCAAGGTGCACATGGAAGGGCTTTAAATAGTACAATAGCTAAATGTTTCCTAGCACACTCAACAGCCAGCCTGCAAAGAAAAAAAAAAAACAGTCTAACTACTAATGCTAAAAACAGAGGTCTTAGTTGCGCGTCTTCTACAGAATATGTGGAAACCACACTGCCTTGTGCCTTAAAACTATAGTCTATCCCAGGAGCGAGCTTGGAGCAGTGGCTACTTTACAACACACACAAGGACCATGGGGAACAAAAGTTTCCACCCTCCAGAAGGAAGGACAGTGTCAACATGAATTCAGAGATGATTTGAGGATCTACAGCCGAGTGATACACAAATAAGATACAATTTTGTTAATAGTTAGGGCACTTTAATGCATTTATAAGGTTTAACTCTTGAGTTTAGTGTCACTTTATGGTTTCTGTTTGATTTGGTGTGATGTAACTTCGGCATTGATGGGCCCTGAGTGGCCTTAAAACATTGCATTAATTTTTCTGCTGAATTTTATGACTTAAGCAGTTAGAAAATGTGTTGCATGACAATAAGTGTGTGCTGAAGACATACATTTTGATATTATGAAAATGTGTGCCTGACAGGTTTCTAAAAACAGCTTGTTATTTTAAACGATAAATGCAGTATTAATGTTGTATTACAGACAACACCTTGATGCTCTTACAATATCTCATTTATGTATTTATTTTACAGGCAATTGGATGCTCCATCATAGCTATAGGAATCTACTTTGTCGTTCATAACATCTATGGGTCCCTATTTCCAGACATTCCATCTCTCACAACTGGCAATATCTTGATTATTTTTGGCTGTGTTATAATGGTATTTGGATTTGTAGGATGCATGGGAGCAATTAAGGAGAATAAGTGTTTACTTCTCACTGTGAGTATTGACTTTTCTTTTTGAAATTCATCCTGGGTGGTGGAAGAAGCATTGGTATCTACAGGGGGCAGGTGTTGGTTTGCTAGCAGAAAATGTGGGTAACCCCTTATAGTCACAACCATATTTTATTAGTGATAGATCTTATCAACCATATTTTTGGAATTATAGTTGCATTTTCCAGGAGACAAGCATGTAACAGAACTGCTCAGTATCAATGGGGAAGCAGGTCTAACAGTGTTTGTGTGTGTGTGTATGTGTTTGTGTGTGTGTGTGTGTGTGTGTGTGTGTTTGGTGTTTGTGGAGGAAGATGGGGGGGTTCTAACACTCCACCATTACTTTTTGATGATCTATCAGATACAAGGAACCTACAGAAAACCTAAACATTTGAATGATGTGCACTTTATTGAGTTTTGAAGAGGGTTACAGTCTCTTATAGACCATATTTGTCCCTGCTGATGAGATTTCCTCTGACTTGTCAGGACAGGAAGTGATGAGAAATCTCTCCTGCAGGCTTCACGGACAAAAATAAATACATATATGTAGTAGAATGTGGAAAGATTAAAACTTCTGACAATGGTTTTATTGCTGCCCGTGCCATCCTGTCTTGGCGACTACCACTCCCCCCATCTCTTGTACAGGCATCACAGGTACAGGAGGTGAGAGAAAACCTTCCCAGGTGAATCAAGACAGAAATAAAAACCTTAAAGAAATTATTAATCTTCCACACTCTATCCAAAACTACAAAAACATTGTAATGACCATTGGAAACAAAAATAGTCTATATAGTTTAACTATTACTTTGAGCAACTGTTGGCCAAAATGTCTACATTCAATAAAGTGTTTCCTCTTTAACTAGGTTCCATTACCACAACGGTAAGGGGTAATGTGATGACCATTGTTATTTTGCAACACTAATTTGCTTTATGGGCAAAAGAGATTATATTGATATACCTCATTAGGTAATGTTCTTGATTTCACAAAGAAGGTAATTTAAGGACATTCTCTTTTTTTGCTTCTTTTAGTTCTTTATTTTGCTCCTTCTGATTCTACTGACCGAAGTCATTCTGGCTATTGTTCTTTTTGTTTATGAAAAACAGGTAAGATGTATGATTTATATTGTTCATTAAAAACTATCAAAAAAGTATATTGCTAAAACAGTGAATGTGACATTCACCAAACATTCCCTGCAGGTGTGTCTTCCTGGTGCATTTATTCACTTGTAGTAATTTTTTGTTGAATGTCACATTCACTGCTTTATAAACATGCCTCAAAATGTCTTCGAAGATATTCATATGATTTTCCTAATGATAGGAAGGAAAGTCAACCTGGGCATGCACACAGTGGCATAACAATCGCCATAGCGACCCAGGCGGCACAGGGGCCTTGGCCAGGACATCCCTGATGCTGTGCAGGCCGCCTGTGTTGCTATGGCATCTCATGCTGCTGGCTGTCACTGGCGGCTGTGAAGAGGAACGTGCTGCTGTTCAGATCACTGACAGTGATCTGTGCAGCGGTGTGTTCCTCTCCACAGCCACTGCTGAGTCAGTGAGAGCCAGCAGCGGCGGTGGAGGAGGCTGGACCCGGCAGTGGAGGAGGAGGCGGGGCCCGGGGGCGGCAGCAAAGGAGGAGGCGGGGCCCGGTGACAGAGGGGGCCAGGCATCAGACCTTAAGGGCCTGTTATGACTTTGAGGGGGAACCCAACACACTTTTGTTTTTGTTTTTTTCTACATGGGGTCCCTCCTAAATATTCCTACCAGACCTTAAGGGTCTGGTAGGACTTTTAGGGGGAACCCTACACAGTTGTTTTTTTTAAAATGGTCCCTCCTAACATTTCTACCAGACCTAAAGGGTCTGGTATTGTTTGGGAGGGGGAATTGCACACTTTAAGAGAAGGAAAAAAAAAATGTAATTTTGTTTTTTCGAAATGTCAGTTTTGCTGCAGCAGGTTCTATACGTCGTACAGTGTGACCACTTCACAGGCAAGTTAAGGGGACCCCCAAGGCACGATATTTGAAGGAATTTTTCATTTTTATTCTTACCCTTTAAGTGATGTTAAAATCACTGCTCCTTTAAAAACTGTATTTTTTTTTTGTCATTGATTCCTGTCCCCCAGGGCAGTACCCGGACCCCCATACACCTTTTATGGCCAATAACTTTGCATATAAGCCCTCTTAAAGGAGACATTCATTTTCGAACGTTCGACCCCCATTGACTTGCATTAGGTTCGAGTTCGTATTTGAACTTTTCGGCCGTTCGAATGTGATGGGCCGATCACTAGTCAAGACTAGCAAAGTGTGCACATTTTCTAAGGCTGAAGTATAGTGTATTTTGTCTTATCTGGTCCCTCTTTCTCTCCTCACCAACATGCTAATTACATTTTTAAGAAAAATACCTTTTTGTTTTCATTAGATACGTCATCAGCACTGGGTCTCTGTGCTTTTCTATATAATGCCAGCAGATCATTGCTTGTGGGAGAGGCTGGCAGGATCCTGTACATAGCTTCCTGAAACATCACAGCACCCTGCCTTAGTATTTTTCTCAAGAGCTCCTGAGCCCTGATGCACGCAGTAGGCTGACTTTTGGGAGGAGCTATGCAATGATGGTGGTTGTCAGTCTGGAAGAGTGAGTGTTCCTAGACAGGCTGCATTTGTTTACAGACAACCCCAGGCATTGTCCATATGTGATGCTGAGACCTTCAGAAACTGAACTGAACTGAAATAATGATTGAAAGTGGCAGGCCAGGAACAGTAAGGCCCCTTTCACATGAGCAGTTTTTCAGCCGACCCGATCGGAAGCTCTATGCAAGTCTATGGGCAGTCGGGTTTAAACAGACGAGCATCAATTTACACCTGGTTTGCCCCGGCACCAGCTAGGTCTGGTAAAATAGACGGACCATTGATCCGTTTCGACGGACCAGATCGTGCCAGACCGGAGGTAATCTGATGTAAATGGACACATGTCCGTTTAAATCAGATTCCCCATAGACAGACATGGGGTCCGGCACTTTCAGTTTTTTCCTCATCACAAGATAGGGGTGTGCCTAGATGATCCTGGACATCCTCCAGCCAGGAAATTAGGTGGGCTGCATCTGACTTGCTCCAGCTTCTATTGCATATTGTGAGAAACCTATAGTGTGCAGTGATATCAGAGTAAGCAATTTCAGTACAGGAGCCTGTGCAAATGTGCAAGACTGAAGGTAGGGCCGGAGTTCAAGTATAAATAACCATATTGGATTGGTGCAGTAAGTGTAAGTGTCATTACATATGTGGCTTATCTACTATACTTCAGTCTGGATGCTGAAATGTAAATTTCTGTGTAATGTTTTCCCCATTTGGAAACATATGGAGGCACAATACAGAAGCAAAACATAAGCTTCACTAATATGGCGATGTAAACACACGGTTTATTGAAGGTGGCTTTATACATGGAAGCCATAGTGTTCTATCACACTCTATATTGCCATACAGTGGCGGACCTAAGGATCAAAGGGCCCAGGTGCAAGATTTTTTTTACAATGCCTATACTGACCAACTGACCACCTGAAAGCCCGCAATGGCCACCTGAGAGCAGAAATACAAGCTCAGGACTTCCACTGATTCTGCAATATGTTGATTTGTATAATAATCTCATTATATATTGAAGTATTGCTGGGAGTTGTAGTCCTCTATAGCTGATGCCATTCTGCACTGCTGCAATGCTGAATCGCACCAGCTATAGAGGGCTACAACTTCCAGCAATACTTTACACATAAATGCAGAACAATTCCATCAGTTACAGAGGGTTAAAACAATGTGACTTAATTAGGCACATACCTCGTTTGACACATGCAGCAGGGAGAGGTGGTGGGCTCTGAAATCCAGTGTCTGCTGCTCGTTCCTCCTGGCTGAGGCCCCAGCGCTGCCCCAGAGTGTGCCTGCAGGCTGATGTGATTTCTCCTCCCACCAGCTCTCTCCTCACTGCCGGGCGCCTGCCGCCATCTCTTGCAATTATCCTGGAGCAGCTGGGGCCCCAGCCTCCTCCGCCGCTGCTGGGGCCCGGCCTCCTCTGATGCAGCCCGGCACTGCGGGGGCCCGGCCCAGCCGCCTCCACCTCATGTGTCACCTGTA